CGGATAAGCTGCTTCCAGCATGCTTTGCTGATATCCAGCGGAGTATGTTAGAAACAGCTTATCACACGGCTTCTATCAAGTGCGGCGACGGCCACGTCAAATCCACAGACACGCCTAATCTGACTTCGAGATATGAGCTGCATCTAGGTAGTGAAAGAAGATAAAACGATGTCCCCTACTGTGAATTTCAAGACTTGCCTCACAGCGAATTCCTGACTCAATGCGTTCTTGGCGTTTTTCTCATGACTAGCAGAACGTTTATGCACTCTCTGCTCAAAGGCGTGTTTTACGGTGAAAAGGTGGCTTTTCGAAAAGAAGGGTAGGTAATTAAGCAGAGATGGAACAAACCATGAGAAACGGCCCAGAACCCGAGAAATGGGACCCCTTCCTTGCCCGTTGATTTCCGCATTGATGCGACTCTCATCGCTGTGCCCTCTTCAACGCTAACGCTCTCTCTGCTATCGCGTATAGACCTGCGGCGAGTGATTAGATAGTCGGTGGGCGTTCCGCGCCAACTGCGCCAAAGGAAGGCCATGCTAGATCGCCGGGGCATATCCTTCGATGCGAATTGTGTGTTGGTCCGCACCCTTAGGGAGGTCCGCCTGTCTCTCCACTAGGTTTTCCCCTTCTTCGACCTTCCTTATCGTGGAATCCTCCTTCAAATCAAGCACTACCCAAGATCACAAACTTACAGCTCCTACATGTGCTTCGTTACAGCTTCGAAATGGAGATCACCTACCCAAAAAATTGCCGCAAAGCGAACAGCGTGCGGAACATGAAGTGAACACTCGAAGGTTCCCCTGGGCATAATCTCTTAAATCTTTTTCAAAAGAGTTGGACAACGTGAATTTTCGTCTCATATTTCGTCGCAAATGAATAAAATTCGGTCATACAGCGGATATGAGTGAGATTATTAAAATTAATTCGAAGAAAATCATTTTGCAAAAAAAACAACTGACGGAAATTTGAGAACCCACTTGCTCAACAAGCACTCCTTCCAAAGGAATGAGCGGTTGCAACTTCAGGAATCACCTCATCAGAGTCTGTGGTTGACCTAGTAGGGATTGCCTTGGCTTTCTTGAGCAGAAGGCGCTGTACTACAGTTTATTGTTCGCTCACCAGATATTCTTTTTGCTCTCTAAATTAAAACGCTAGGTGACTATGTACGGTTATTTGGCGCTTAATGCACACAATCCTTGTTGGCGCTTGGCGGCTTGATTTTTCGTTTCTCGACAGAACGCTCTACGTGATGTTGCCAAAGCATAATTGACGGACAATCCAGAAGAGCTTTAGATGATGAATTCTTTATATGGGTAGGAAAGAGCTTCCGCGAAGATTGCGGATCTCCCGTTCACCCGGCTTTGAAGTGTGCAATAGGAGCGCTATATCTACCGTGCTCCCTCTCCTTACTTCTCCTTCTGCTATAGTCTCTTGGCTTACCTGGCACAAAAGATAGCTGGGTCTTAGCCTCAGCGTTCCCCGAATTCTTTTCCTTTTTGTTTGCAGCCGGCCCATCCCTACCAATGCTTTCAGGTTTGTTGAAGAACCGCACCATTATCCTCGATCGTCTTTAGTTCACTGTTTAAGCTAGCACTTCACAAGTGAACAATGGTAGTATGAAATGTGGAAGGTTAGTAAAGGTCTTTGATTTTTTGAATTGTCTTGTCTTTTTGATGCCTGTAAGAGGGACGCCTGGCTTCATGCGAAAGTGGTGTGTTTTGCAGTGCTTCAAACAAGAAGACCAGCCCACGATCGAGGTCAGTCCTTATCGTTGCTACCTTTCAAACGTTTTTTAGCGGAACCCCCCCCGTTGCCTTCAGGAAAAGTTTCCTACGACCCCTTTGCGATCATTTTACCTCAAAAAATTACCCGTCGCAGCGGGGGATTTTTAACCCAACTCGAGGGGGGGTATATACGCGCGCTGAAACGGCAAATTTTCTCCCGCGCCGCTCCCCACTCATCACATGCAACTTCTTACAACCGAAGCAAGTACGACCCCCCTCTACAAACTCATCAAAATACGACCCCCCCGTTGCTACTTGTAGCAACATAGGGTTGACCCTGGTCCCGACCTCTCGCCACTGACACGAACGTCGCCAGGCGCAGGTGCTTTTTGTTGTTCGTTCTACTTCTGGAAAGTGGTTTATGTCTGGGGATTGTTCTATCGTGCGGAAGAGGTCCAGAAATCGCACACAGATGGGCAAATATTACGGTAACAAAGAAATTGGTCAACTGATGAGGCGAGAAAAGCATAAGCGGGCGATACCAAAGTATTGATGGCGGGTTAACAAATAGAGAACAGCATTACTTCTTTAAATGGTAGCTTTCTGCATTGATACCTAAGTGAAGGCTTCTTAAGAGCACATTGTCGTGTTATGTGGATGAGTGGCATCCAGCTAGTGAAGGCTGTCTTGAGAAAGCTCTCCATTTCATCGATATTCAGATGATGCCAAGAGCAAGATCTTATCTCGCACCCACTCAATTGAGGGTAAGTCCATTGGATAAGCCAGAGCCGTTTCCGCCAGAGTGCCCCGCGCCTAAGCGTCCTAGCAGAAGGTGTTAACACATTGACGACAGTGAGACGCGGCTGCGCGTCTCAATTTGCGCACCTCGCTGGACATTGAGACGGTTACGTTACGTTATTGAGGCGCGTCTCATTCTTGTCATCCCTTTTTTCTAGCGCATCTCTCTTCTATGGATTACAATATATCGCTCTTTTTTGTCTTGGGCGGAAGCTCAGAGTCAATTAAACTAATGATTCCCCTACGAACATTGCACTGAATGAGTGAAGTTGACATGTTGGTATAGATCCGATCACATCACTTATTCAGGACTGCCATGATAGTTACGTAGCCCTCCATCATAAAAAGGATTTATGAATCAAGTTTTTTTGCAACCTGAACACTATCTCCTTGCAACTCTGCTTTATTTCCGTTTGTTTGCCTCTACCGGAAGTTCACACTCTACATGCTCTGAGAAATAGCAAAATGGTTTGCTAATCGTTAACAAAGCTAAAAAAGTTATGTGACTTCCCACATCGCTTCAAAGCTAATGGATCGTTGGCACAGTTGGCGATCGCACGTGCGATCAGTCGCTCAGGCGATTAGGCGATGATTCAAAACGAGGAGTGAAGGATAAAAAGGATAAATGAGGATCCGGATAAAGGAAAAGGATAAAGCATTTGCCGTTGATCAATCCCTTTTTGGGATGCGGCACGCATTCTACTTCCATTTGTACATTCGTAGTGGCGTTTGAATGCGATGTGGCCTATACAATGACTTGCGGGGGCCAGCCGATGTACAAGTCAGTGTTTTTATCCTCCCAGACAAGTCTGGTACCAATTAACCGACCCCGGAGGGATGGAAGGCTTGGTTGGCCCGGGCGACTCACGACCCAGGATTTGATCCCGGACCGCTCGCGTGGTAAGCGTGCCACTTGCCACTACACCACTTCCGCCCAGTAAAACAAGTACACGTATCAGTTAGGCGATTAGGCGATTAGGCGAT